GAGTACCATCATTAAAAAAAAAGGAGCTAGCAGGGCTTATTATAAATTGAGGGGGGTGTATATTCCTTAAAGTATTTCAAACCTTATTTAAGGGGACCCTTAAAAAGGGGCAGAATTAAATACTAAGAAATAATATTAATGAATTATTATTCATTGTGTATTTTACTTGCAACCCAGCTGGCCCAAACTTGACCAGTCAGTTTCACTCTTTCCAAGCAGTTAATTAAGTGCACATAAGGGCGTATAAGAATGCTGCAGCATTTAGTACTCAAGTCACTACCAGAGTCCCCATAATTATTTAAAAGAATGTTTGTTTTTATTATAATTCTATTAAAATTATGCTTCAATAAAGCTTATATATAAAATGTGCATTTTGAGCCTGTGTATTTATTTTATCAAGTAATGTGGCATGCAGAAATTCTAAAGCTTTTTTATTACATGGGAAACCATGTTTCCCCATTTGCAGAAGAACACCCAGAATTGTGCCTCAGGAAACAAGGAAACTTTAGTAGGTGCTTCTCAGGGTTTCAGGGACCCAATCCTGCAGAGGAATCCCCAAGATGTACAGGATCAGGCCCCCTGAAACCCTGCACTGGGTGGCTGAAAAGCAGGCTGCCCACATATTCCTGCCTTAAAAATCAGATATCTGCCACAAAAAAAACAGCACAAATGTATAGTACTTTTTTTGCAGCCACAAATTTGGGCAGTTGTGGCAACATGACAAAGGGCATAGATGTCTGTTAGGTTTTGCTTTGTGCTGTCATAAAAATATTTATGGTAGTACACAGGCAATACCAGTTTGAACCTTAGAAATACTGGCTCTGGCAAGGGTGGGAGAAGGGAGGAGAAGAGAAGTGGCTGTGGAAAAGAGGCATTCAAAAATTTGACTTTTACTTTTTAAAACAAGGCTGGCAATAGTTACTAAAACCATAATCTGGCTTACCAGTAATTGAACCCTGCTCCCCCCACCACCCAACTTAATATAAAACCTTTTTTTTCCCCTGTAAATACCATGGGGGGGGAGGAGGGGGAAAGAGAGCAGGGATATGGGGGCAGTGTTTTTAAAGTCTGTTCAGGAATGATACTTACTTCCTGTTCCTAGATATGCAGACAGGCAATACAGTGCTATGTAGTACTGGTGCACAAACTTCAACTCCTTTTAATGGCCAATAGAAAGTTGTTTTGATATTAATTTAAATATTTTCTAACCTAACCACGTGCTTTGCTCAAAGCAAGTACAGTAAATTGCCACAAGCCTTTATAGGGAATGATAGCATCTAAATCTAACAAATACAATGGACCAAAAGTAAAAGTAACCCACTGAAATGTAAGGGCCTGTGACATGCAGATCAGAACTGAATGAACTTTTGGCCTTAAGCTTAATAAATCTATTACTCTCTTTTAACATTGTTTTGAAAATAACCCTCTCCTCCCCCCAAGCAGAAAACAGTAAGTAGGGGAGTGGGAACCAAGCTTAAAGATACACTTTATTAAAGTATATGCCATTACACAGCCTTTATAAAGAACATTGAAAGTGTTTCACCCTTAGTGTCCTAAATTTTATGGGCTTGAAAGCATATTGTAACTAATGTTTTCTCATTGATTATTAAGCCTATCTTATAGAAGACCATATACTAATTGCACAAATGTTTTTGACAAAGTTATTTTAGTTAAAAAAAAGATGACAAATCAACTTTAACTGAAAGGATACTTATCACTGTATCCTTTATGACAACCCAGTTAGTACATTGTTATATATTAGGGTAGCTTGCAAAACCCTTACATTACTACGTATTCGTGACTAAAAGAAAATCATGCTGTACCGCTTTCTGTTCCACATATCTGAGTTGATATTCTTCCTTCGGCTGATAAAAGCAAATGCAAATCCCAGTCCGTACAGCTCGACCTGTCCGTCCTGAACGATGAATATAGGACTCTACATCCTTTAAAATAAAAGCAAAAAATAAGAAGTGTTTGATTCAGTTGTTACTGCCGTAAAGTTTCACAGACCCTATTATAATATTACTTGGGTGTAATATACTGTCTGAAAATTATTTTAAATTATTTATTTAAAACAAGTTTCCAGAATTCCTCCTAAAACCTCTATGAAATAATGCTTAGAGATGATGTGACATACCTTTGTTAACAAGGTACCACTACTACTCCAATTTCAGCATAAGGCAACCAAATGTACAGATTTGCTGCTGTATCTTTATGCAAACTTAAGTGTTGCAAACATTACATGCTTATCACAATGCAATAAATTCCCAAAGGAGTAAGCATGTTCTTGACAGAACTCAATACACCCTTCTCTTTGTATCCTCCTGAATTTCTCTAGCTCTTTCCATTGGGCTCTCCTTCCCATCCAATGGCAGCACCAGTCATTCTACTCTACAGTTTTCCCAAATCCCTTTCAAAGTATCACCACTCATTGCTTTGGGGAGAAGTGTAATGCAGAGGTTCCAGACAAAGTGACTGGTAAGAGCAGCATTCTGAGAAGAGGATTTCCCAGCATCTACTTCTGATGCATTCTAAGTTGCATTTTGATTGAAAGACCATCTCTGGTAAACAGAAGCTTCCTTACAAACCAACTTTAATGCTAGCAAGTTTAATAGGACTTCGTTACTTTATTACATGAAAACTAACTGAAAGACTGCATTATAAAAGATACCCAACATATCCATCTTTTACCTTTGGTGGTGAACCTTGTACAACCAGGTCAACTTCAGGGATATCTAAGCCACGAGCAGCCACATTGGTTGCAACAAGAACTTTAAATGCACCATTTCTAAAGCCTTTCAATGTTATCTCCCTTTGTTTCTGAGGAATGTCACCATGCAATGACTGGCAATCCTGTAAAACAATATGACACCATTCAGAAAGGCAGTAAGAAACAGTTTTGTGCATCATGCTACAGGAAGAATACTGAAGAACTGAAATGTTTTAGATTTATTACAAAAATGTTATACTTCCAAAATATAGCTTCTACATAGTGCTTTAATCCACATATCTCAGCACTTTACAAAAATGGGGAAGCATTATCCCCAATTTCCAGAATGAAGCTGAAACAAGCCACATTGCACCACTGCCAGACTTGAAAACAGAACCCATATCCCAGCTTCCAGCCCAATGCCCTAGGAATAGTATATGTTGCTTCTCAAAACAAATCCCATCTCTAATATCATGCTATCCACGCTATTATACAACCACTGTCACTTAACTTCCTTTTGCAAGATGCACATAACCATCTGTCCCATTCAGAAGCAGGATAAATGTAAGTTTTAAAGGATCAAAATGGAAATTATTTTTAAGAGCTTAAATAGATAGTTTAAAACTTTAATCATAAGCCAGAAAAAATTCTCTCATTATAAACACTCAAAATTAATATAAGTTCCATATTAGAAAGAGATTCTCTTCTTCCTAAAACACTGTCAAATGCATATGTGGTCAGTTTCCATTCCGTCTTTCACCTAGAAGCAGATGCAGCTGATTATAAAGTCACAAACAGAAGGCTCAAAAACAGGCACAGGACTGCCTTTCCCCCTCCATCCCCCAATTTTTTTTTGGCCATGCTTTCAAGTAGGAGTGTTTTACATATAAGGCCTACATGCTGGAGCTAGGCCACGGAGCCACTCTCTCCAGCCAGCTGGACTATTAGTGTTGTCAGGGTGAAGTGACCTGCTGCAGAGCAAGGACTGGTTGCCCTCTGGCTGGTGGCCAGTTGTAACTACCACAGACCTACCATCCTGGCCACCAGCCCTCGTGCTGTGCCTGCTGCTGGAGGTGGAGCTGGAGCTGCTATGGCATGGGACACAGTGGCAGCTGCTCCAGCTCTAGTACAGAGCACATGGTGGGATCAGGAGCTGAAGCTGCTATGGCAGCTTCCTAATGACCCCATCTGAGTCTGAGTGCAGCCAGGGACACAAGGAGAGTTTGATACCCCTCTTTTAAAAGGATGATCTATAGAGGGAATGGATGTATAGTTCATCAACAAGCTTAGATATCAAGATATTAATGACTATATATTTTTGTCCCCTTTTCTTACTTGCCAAGACCAGAGTTTTGCATTTCTCTGCAACAGATGATATCACAGATAACATCAACAGCAACACAGAATAAGGCTCCATGCTGAGGATTTAGCTATTAGTGAGGTCATCTAATAGTGCAGAAGAAACACCCTCCTGAACAGAAATGTGGTGGGTAAAAGCTTCTTCCTTTCCCCTAAAAGCAGAAGAATATACTGTTTTCTAGTCTCAGAGTAACCTATCTGATCAAGGAAGAACACTGACAGTCACACAATGATCTGGACTAAGATCAAGGGATCTACTACTGTAATACTTGCTAGCATCTGGCACAAATATCATGGTGACTTGCTAGTGTACTGTCTCCCACACCCCAAACAGTATCAAGTGCCTTCAGTTAGCCTCAGGCTTCATAAGTACTGTGGCATAAGTCTCAGAAATAAGAGTCAAAGGCTACATTGTATGTGGAATTTGAACTCCTTGAGAAAGGAGACAATAGTACTAATAAAGCAGACATACATTTTAGAATTTGACAAGACATGTATCTCATTCACTGACTTAAATTATCATAGGGCAGAAATTGCCATCATGCTAACTCTTAGTAATTGCTAGCCTGCAAATATGTAATCATCACCGTAATCCCAGAACTGAGGGAGACAAAAAGACAGATTTAACTTGTAAAAGTTTCACCTCATGTCTATGTTTTATCCAAGGAAAAACTATATTCTTAACACCACCACCACTACCAACCGTCTTTGTCCAATCCAAATAAGAGCAAAGTAGGGAAGCCGAACATTACACATATGCAATGCTTTACCAGCGGGCTGATCTTGTGGGTGCCTTTTGGGTAACTTATACCAAAATTCTGAATCAATGACAACTCAAAAGATGCTTGCAGATTTAGTGAGGATAGGTTGATTACTACCCCTATGTTGAAAGGGGCTACACACTATCTTGGTAAGATAGCAGACAACGTACCTGTTTAATTGAGGCATTGAGAGCCAGTTCATTTGCCTCCTTTTTGGTCTCACAAAAGACTATGGTCCGTCCATGACTCCCACTGTAGACCTGAATGACATCCCCAATAACTGCTTCTTTTTGAGTCCAGTGGCATTCTATAGCCAAATGCTGTCAGAGACACAATCTGGTATTCAGCTTATATTAAAAACACTTAAAATTACAGCTTTAGAAGTGTACAATTGAAGGGGTAGAATCTAAAAATTGAACACTGTTATAAAGATGTTTTTCCTCAAGCATGAAATTTTGAATAATGGAAAATCATATTACTAAAACATGGATGGCAAAACAGTAACGTGTGGATCCCTTCTGTCCACAAGGATAAAACTAAAATCAAATTAAAATAAGCATGGGCAAAATAAGTATACTGCAAACAAGTTTCCCCAGGTAGGGAATTCATAGATCTTCCCTGAAACTATCACACAGGCAGAATTCTCTCTGTTTGCTAGAGTTGCATGAAAATTTTTATGAAGCAGATGACCAGAATTCACAGATCAACTCTAAAATGTATGGATTTTCAAATTCAATCCTTAAAAAACAAATAAAATACACCTATTACATGCAAAAGAAAGGGGATAGAAAACATGCCATATTAAAAAAAGTTACTTACTTCTACAGTTGTAGCTGCTTTTTGAGTCCTCTTCCCAATTAGATCAATCTGTTCATATCGGGATTTCATGTATTTCTTAGCCACATCATATACCCAATTTGGGCAAGTGGCAGAAAACAGGAGCGTCTGAGGGTTATCTTCTGAATCTTAAAAACATACAAGAACCCATTTAAAAATCTTACTATCTAAATCCTAGAGGATCACATTAGCTCTAGGGGAAAATATTAAGGCCTAAATTCAGTTACTTAAAATATGAAAGACTACAGAAAGCATTCAGACTTTGGAAGTCTATGGATGGAAAAATAAAATATAGCATAATGTTTTCTTTACTGCTTTCTTCTTCCCAGCCTTCTCAAATGGTCACACTTGAGCCAAACTTCAAGTGAGCAGACTTGAACATACCTCCGTTTGAAGTCAACAATACCCATGTTACCAAAGACAAGGATCTATTACTTAAGGAACACAGAGCATTTTTGCCTTCGTCCTCATCTCAAAGTTACAACCCCTTTGATCAAGAAGTACAACTCCATTTATTTATAATATGTCTGAACTAGGTCACTATACCAATCCTGAAATACATGATTTTAAAAGCTAAACTATCATTAGTATCTCTTCTTTTAAATTGCAAAAAACAAAAAAAAAACCCCAAAACTCAAAAAACATTAGCAAAATCCACTAAAGAAATACCATTAATAAAAGCTATTACTCCCTAAAGAGATGCCATTAATAAAAAGCTATTTCAATGTTCATAAACAAAACATTTGTGCTAATCCCAATACAAGAAAGTAAAAAATAAAATACAAAACACCCAACCCTTCAGAGGAAAGATTTATCTTCACTATTAAAAAGGAAGAAGCTTCCAATGTTCTTGCCTGGGAGTTCCAACCATTCATTATTTCAGCTTAGGAAAGGGTGCCAGGGAAAGTTGCTTACTGTCCACTAGCAGATGGATTTCAAGCAGGTTGGCATCTTCTCTATTCTGAAGAATCTGTGAATGACTTCTAGTTTGATATCAAATTACCCAGATAGACATCTATGGTAGGTTTTCTCTAGCACTCTCCTTCACCCCACACCCACCTCAATTTACAGGTTTTAGGAATTCTAATTCAACCATCTGATTTTAGTGGACTAATTATTATTACTGTATTCCCAACTACTTGCTTCAAAGTCTGAAATTACCCTTTTTGTACGCAACTCGTAAAATGTCCTCCACTTGTTCAGCAAATCCCATGTCCAACATTTGGTCAACTTCATCCAAAACAACATGCTTAAGTTTGCAAAGTTCCAGCTTGCCATTCTGAAGGTGGTCTTTGATTCGACCTGGGGTCCCTACCAAGATGTCAATGCCGCTTCTAATTAAGTCAACTGAAAACAGCAAGATAGGAAAGGACAGGACAGGACATTTAGATACCAGCAATTTCAGTTACAGTGAAGAACTTGACAACTTTATTTTATTGCGCTGGTACTACTACACAAATACACAATCTGTATGACAGACTAATATGGACACCTGAAAAATAAAAGGAAAAGCTCATGAAATTGTGTCATAAATTTGTTTTCTTTTTACTTTATTTGGGAAATAAACAAAAATATCAGAAGAAGTAGCAGAGAATGAAAAAAAGATGATAAAAGGGTAGGCAGCAGCCTCAATGATCTTATTGCACAAGATTTTTTCCTCCACTCCCAAACTAAATTCTGGTTGCCTTTACAGTATGACAGCCAGTGACCCCATGCCTCAGGGCTCTGCTGGTAACCAGACAGAGTGGCAGCAGGCAAAATATGGCCCATGGGCCACATTAGGTGCACCAGGTTATTCTATCCGGCCAGCGAGGCCCCTAACATTTTTAGAAAATTAATATTCATCTGCCCCAGCAACCTGTCAAAGCAGATAAGAGAGGGGCAGTAGGACCCAGAGGGAGCCCCAGCAGGACTGAACAGCCCAGCCTTGCCCCCACCCCAGCCATTTCACTCCCTTCCTGCCCCTGCCCTGCTCCAGCACCAGGTGGCTGCCGGCTGCAGCTGCATTGCTGGACTGGGAGCACGGGGCCGTACATGCGTGTGCAGGCAGGGAGAATGTGTGTGTGTGTTCACAGGCCGAGCCCCACATGTACATCCCACTATACACATGCACCCACACCCCCCCTTGTACTGACATACACACAGACCGCCCCCCCACCTCCCCTCACACACCACAGGCACCCATCCCCCACAAGCCCCATATGTACCCACACTCCACATATCCACACCCACAGCCCCCACAACAAACCTATACCCACCCCCGCAACATACAAGAGTAAGACTTCATTTTAAGCTACTGTGCAATCATCTCTATGTACACTACACAAACACATGTAAATAAAGACAAAAATATTTTTTTAAACCAAATTAATGAATGTTGTAGATGTTCCCTTTTTAGAATATAATTTGTTATTTTTCTGGTTCCGAGATGACAAAATCTCCCTCCTCAAGGGGAGGGATTCCTTGTGGCAAAGGTCAGGGGTTAGGGGGGCAGGATTTCTGGTCACAAGATGGTGACCAGGGACAGGGCTACCCATGCAGCCCTTGGCAGCCTGCTGAAACTCAGTAAGCAGCCCTTCACCTGAAATAATTGCCCACCCCCAAGATAGTAGCATTAAATGAGGAGGGATTCCTTCCAGGCTCTATCTTGGGCAGAGGGAAGGAGAAGGGGCCTGGTGTCACGTTTCTCTGAGGCACTGAACACTGACCACAACTAAAGCTGAGCACTTTTGACTGAGGTACATCACTGATCCCTACTCTCTGCGACTATTAATCCCATCTATGATATACAGTCCACTGACAGTGAAGCCCTTATCAGTGATCACATGAATTATCCTTATTTATGGTCATCAAGATATCAACTGGGTGACCTATCAATAGAGCTTTTCCTCCACTCATTTTGTTTTTTTTTTTAAACAAAAAATGTTCGTCTACAACTGAAAACAGTAGCAAATATCCATTGATAGCTTAAAGATGTAGTGTTTTCTACGTATAGATTTACTTTACAAAAATTTCAAATGTGTTATTTACAAAATATCAGACACAGTACTGTTTCCATATACCCATATATTATTCATTCCAATGTCTTCTCTTTAACACCCAGATTTTGTGGATGAAGTTCCAAACCTGTGAGAAAGGCAGGAAGCCATGCATTTTACTAAAGACCCTCTTGTTTTTCTACCACACAAAGATCCAAATTAAGACATAGGGGGGCATTTTTACACATACAGTTTCATGCTCTGACATGCCAGGGAGCAGACTTGATTAATCGAGTGTGCTCTGCACATGAGCTGATGTGCACATACAATTGCATGCAGTGTAGCACAAAGTGACAAAATGCACATCAGCATGCAGAAAATGGCAGCAGCATGCTTGAGCTAAAACACCTGCAATGTGTTTTAATTCAAAAGCATGCTACTGCCATTTTCTGCATGCTGATACACATTTTGCCACTTACACACCTGCATGCGATGCAGCGCTGAACATTTCAAAAAAAAGCACCTGGCACTGCAACACAAGCTTGTGTACAAAAGCCCAGAGAGCCTCCTTCACAAGTTGGAAAGACTGATTAAAATAATCTATTTGAAGACAGACAACTGTATTTCTCAACCACATTAGTCAATCTGCTTTTTACTCGGTCACAAGTCTCACTTACTTTGCCCATTATATGAAGTTCCTCCATAAAAGCAAGCAACAGTGAGTTTCCTTGTGATGTCCTTAAAGTCGTTGGCTACTTGGTTTGCCAGCTCTCTGGTTGGGGTAAGAACTAGCACCTAGGCAGGAGGAAACAGTTAAAACAGACGCACCCTCTCTTGACTTCTACTGAGAAGGCGTAAGCAGCTTTCAAAATTAGGTCTATATATTTACATTTCTTTTATAATAGTGTTACAGGTTTGAACCAAGTGGTATTTAAACACAAAATCACAGAAACATTCAAGATTCTTGTGCCTTCACCGAATCATAATGAAGTCACTTCTTGTTCAGCTAAAACATTGCTACCTTTGAGGCAAGTGACAGCACAACCCATTTCAAATGTGATAAATAGCATTTACTTACCCATTTCAAACTGTGGCTCTTCAAGATGTTATCCAAATGGATTCCACTCCAGATGAGCACATGAGTGCAGGACTGGAGTCTCTGAATACCAGTGTCTACTGGGACTATTCATATACCTATAATGCTGCCTCACGCTCTGTATCAGGACATACAAAGTAGAGTTGCTCTAACAGTCCCTCAGTCCCTTGCAAAAAATCCTGCACCCTCCAAAAACAGGAATGAAGAGTGGATTGTATGACCCACCCTGACATCCTGAAGAACCAGAGTTCCCATAAAGCAAGTAACCATTGTGTCAATGAGGATCCCACCATACGTGATGGGCAAGGAGTGTCCCAATTGGACGGTGGATCTGAAGCATTTTAAACATATGTATTTTAAGCAAATCCATAGCTGCATTCCTAACCTGATATCTGACTTAGCTGTTAGATCAAGGGCATAATGCTTAAGGGCACTGAGTTCAGCAAGTTTTTCCATTCTGACACTTCACAAGTTTTCGAATACCTTAATATTTCTTCAGAATGTAGGAAACACTGCTTGTATTTTGTACAGTAAGCTTGGATATTTGGAACCACTACCAAAAGATCAGGGTTTTAGGAAAGCCCTGTAACAAAATGGCCCCTAAAGGTTTGATATAGCCATAAACAGGCAAGACTGCCTGAAAGATGTTTTCTGACCAGTTGTATACCCACTTTGGAGTAATTTCATTTAGACAGTATTTTCTTTGTTTTCTTATAAGAATGTCATGTGAAACTGCATCAAAAGCCTTCCTGAAGTCAAGACACCTACTGCTTTCCCCCATCCAGTAAGCTAGTTAGTTACGTTGAACAAGAAAATTAGTTTGACATCTGTTCTTGACAAATGAATACTGGTGGCTGCTCATCACTTCATTACCCTTAAGAAACCTACAGACTGATTGAATAATCTGTTCTAGTAACATTGTGGTATCAAAGTTAGGCTGCATGATCTTCTTCTGGTCCGCTACCCATAACCAATGTTAGGTTAAGTTTCCCTCTCACTGACACTCCACAATTTCTCTAAAGTAACTGTTAGAGGTGGCTGTTTGGAGGTGGCTTCAGCTAGTATCATTAGTACTCCAGGCTAAGTCTTATACACCCCTCTAATTTGAACACATGTAGACCCAGAAGTTCATAAAGGGATAAAGGCAAGAATTTTTCCTTCATCCTCTTAATATTGTTAAGCATTGAGTAAAAACTGAACTGTTGCACAGACCGAAGCAAGGCCCTTTTTCAGCTTTCCCCATAATATCTGTTGTTTTTTCACCTTTCCCGTAGCTAGTAGACCTATACTTACTTTAGGCCCCCTCTTCACATTACAAGTATTGTGCAATTACCCATTTAATTGAACAATTACATTAAGACCAGCTACATATGCAAAGTAGCTATCACACCATAAAAGCTCCAACCAGCTATACTGTTAGACTTTGAAAACGTGTACTTAACTTTATAGCTGGTTGCTATTAAGCTTTAAAAATCTGCATGTGTAGCAGGGTCTCTCCTGCAGCTGGGAGCAGCCCCGTCTGCTCAAAAGGATCCCAGCCTCAGAGGCCATGCCCAGCTGGGGCTGCGATTCCCGCAACTAAAGGGACTTTCAGCCCCAGCAGCTGCTGACTCTGGGTCTGAGCAGCATGTGGACCCAGTCTCACAGCTGCAGACACTGGATGCCAGACACCAGTTGGGTCCCAGCCCCTGGGGGCACAGATGCCCTACAGCTGCATGAAACCCCTGGGCCTGGAGAATTGCAGCAGCTGCAATCCCCCAGTCCCAGGGGTGCATGGGACACCTCTGTGACTGGGAGCCCCTCAACTGAGGAGGCTCCCATCTGTGGAAGCTTGCTTCTTGCAGTGCAGGAGAAGCCTGGGATCAGGCTCCCCCTGCACCAGTAATGGAATCTAATGCATGATCCACACAATTGCACCTCCTGCCATGCACACATAGCGTGGCATGAAGTGCAATTAGTGTGAATCATGCATTAGATCCCATCATGTTTTTACCTGTACACATACAGGGAGGTCTTAGTCTTCCCCTTGCTTTGAATACATTTACAAGAACCTTTGCTTGCTACCTTCTCTCTCATTTTAGTTGCAAATTATTTTGTGTGTAAACCTTTCTAGTTTGTCCCCACACACTTATGCTGTTCCTAGTTTAAGTGCAGATTCTTCCAGCGGGATGTCCGCCAGTACCATGAATGACTGATACACTTTGACACTGGTGCTTGTACAGTTGATGACACTAGTGAAATTGATACCAGTACATTTTGAGTTATTACCAAGACTACAGCTGGTTCCACTTGACTACTATTTGTTTCTGAATGGGCCTTAATGGGCTTATTCCAAAAGGACTGCTTCAGCCTCCCTGTGTAGATACCAAGCTGTACCTGGAGCTTGTGCCTCTCTGTTCAAACGTCCTTTATTGGTTTTTAACTTGGTGTCAAGGCTCTTTTCTCAACACTTATAAGTTGCTGACATTGGTTTTTATTGTCATGTCCCTGCTGCAAAGGCACACATTTCTTCTGTACCAGCTGGTTCACAAACAAGTTTCTTCAAGGTCCAAAGTGACCTTAGACTGCTCTAACAAGCAGAGGTTAACAGAAGGATCCCATGATCAAATTCATGAAAAGTGCGCCAGTCTGGTACATGTCTACATGGTTTGTACAAAAGTTATCTGCTCTGGCAGTCTGCCAAAAGAATCAGAAGATAAGATGAACAGGATTTGTAGCCCAAGAATTTCAAATCAACCATCAGGGAAAAAGGACTTAATGGCCCTGCACAGGGACACATGTATAGGTTCCAAACTACAGATAGCAAACACTAAGTAGAAGCAGGTTGAATACCTCCTGTTTCAACTGTGAAAACAATGCAGCTGCCCTTGCATTCCACGTGAATGCCAAAAGGGCAGGAGCCACAGGGTACAATTGCAGTCCCAGACACTGCTGTTCAAAAGGCTCCAGTCTCAAATGCATTTTGCACCTGCAGTAGGATCCACACTGACACAAGCTTGAAGAAAACTGGAATCAACATGACAAAGAAACATAGTAAGCATTATCTTAGAATATAGTAACTCTCATGTAACGTTCTGTTACCTTTGGACTTCGGCCTCTTCTTCTCTCCTGGGTGTCTCCTTGAAGCTTTTCAATCAAGGGAATAGCAAAAGAGAATGTTTTCCCAGTTCCAGTCCATGCTTGAGCTATGACATCTTTGCCGTCATATATAGGATAGAAGGTCTTTACTTGCACAGGAAACAGGTATGATACACCTCGAGCTGAGGGGGGAAAAAGTTGCAATGAGTTCATGAGTACAACTACATGAATTTCAACAGAACATCACATGCCATCTCCAGGAAATAACATAAAAACACAAACAGGACCACATCACTGTCTTCACCCCTTTACTTAATCTTAAAAGCAGTTTTGGAACTGGACTTTAATTTACAGCCAGTCCTGAGACTTACAACACAACTGGTTCCTAAAAAGTGTGTGTTAAGTCGAAACATTGTAACTCAGAACAAATTTTCCCCATAGGAACAGTGTTACAAATGGGGGACTGGTTTACCAGGGTTGGTCAATACTGCATGCAGCTGGTAAGTGGTGGAGTAGGGGGCAGAGCGATATTTCCCACAGTGAGGGAGGGGCTGGAGCAAGGGCTGCCCAGCTGGGGCCAGGCAGGCTCAGGCAAGTGGGGGTGTGACAGCTCCCACCACTGTACTGCTCATCTGGCAGCTCAACCAGCAGTTCCCACTGCTAGCCCAGGAGGTCATGGGGGGGGGGGGCGCATGGCCCCAGACTTGCCTGGGGTGGGGCAGGCAGGGCCAGGGCTGCACCAGGCTGCAGAGCAGCAGAGGCTATGGCAAATTTTCAGGTGGCT